ACGAGCGAGCTGGAGCCGCCGCTGCCGGAAGGGGGTTCCGAGCCTCGGCCCGGAGGCGCCCGCCGCCATCCCCATCCCAGCCGCCACTCATCTCCACCCCTCCTCCTGGCCGTCCTCACCCGCTGTCCCTGTCACTACCGCCCCAGTCCCATCTTCAGCCCCATCCATCCTCATCCCTCTCCATCAGGAGCGCGGTCGCTGGCCTCCGGGTCCCCTCCATCAGCCTCCGCAGCCTCGCTGCACCCGGCCACCCACCCCCTCTGCTGCTGGCAGTCGGCTCCCACTTCACCCTGTCCCCATGTCCCTCGCGGTCGTACCCCGCGGCGCCCCGCCGCTCTCCCCGCCCCCACCCTTCCTCTGCACCCCTTCCTGCCGCAGCCCCCTCCTGCCGCGAGCCCCCCTTCCTCGTCCACCCAGCCCATCCCCCTCCGCATGTCGCAGCCCCGGGAGCCCCCTCCCGGTGCCTGCCGCACCCACTGCGGCAAGCCCCTTCCCCGCCAATCGCGGCGCCCTCCCGCCCCTGCTCTGCCGCAGCCCCCGCACCGCCGCCCCTCCCCGCTGCACTTCCAGACCCTGTACCTGCTCCGGCTCCACGGCCCTCGGTCCGAGGGCGATGGCGGCGGCGGTGACAGCCCCTGGTGTCTCGGAGCCTTTGTTCCTCGCGGGGCAGCCTGGCCCTAGTCGCCCCTGCAGGCAGTGGCGGGTGCCTGGAGCCCCGCAGGCCTGGGAGCGAACACTCCCACCGAACGCAGAGGTGTCAGCTGTGGACTCCCCTCGGTGATGGAGGCGCTGCCCAGCGGAGGGGCTCCTTGGTGATGCTGTCATTGGGTGAAATAGGGGCGGGGGCTTTGGATCGTGAGATTGTCCGGGAGGGAAGCAAAGCACGTTTGGGGGTGCAGACAGGGATTGAGGGGTGCTGTTGAAGCCATTTGTGAGGAGTGGAGGTACCAATTTGTCTGTCTCCCGATGGGTGCTATGGTGCCTTCCTGGTCAGACAGCCCGTGCTCAGGTAGGACCCCCACAGGAGCAGGCCAGAGGTGCAGGCTTCTTGGGGAACAGGGGCGAACACAGTAAAGAGGTTCCCCCAGGAAACCTTGGCCATTTGTCTCGTGCTCCCACTCCTGGCAGGGTCAGGCTGTTGCACGTGGGAAAATCCTTTGGATGGAGTCCAGGGGCAAAGTGGGCACCCGCAGGCTTTGGGAAGAGGACTTTTGCTGGGGAGAGCCTCCTGCCCTGGTCAGTCAGGCAGAAGGCCACTGTGGGGATCCAGAGCTTGGGGGAGGGGGGTCTGCTCCTCTCCCTTGGCATGTTTTGGTGTCCATGGTGCCTAGAGCTGTCCACCCTGATCTGTGAGTGCAAAGCGCCTGGGGGTCTCAGCTTCCTGTCTCCACCACCCATGTGGAAGCTTCTGGAGGAAAGGGCTTGGCCAGGCGCCATCTCTCTGCAGTCTCCTTGGGAGGGCTCCAGGGTGCCCGTAACAGGCAGCTGCCCATGTAGACCAGGATAAATGAGGCCATGTCCGACATCAGATGGCGACCCTGTCGGATGGCAGTCTTGGCTACAGCGTGTGCTGACCACGAGGACCATGGGTGGGCTGCTCATGCCCAGAGACACAGGGTTGGAGCAGCCGGGGCAGCAGGGTCTGGCCTAGGAGATGTCTAAGCCGCGGCTGGTAAGGGTCTTGCCGAGAAGCAGCCTGGGGTGAGCCCATGTGGTCTGAATGTGGAGGGAAGAGAACCAGAGGGCAGCCGGGGTGGCTTGGAATCAGGAACCAGACTTTGAGTCTGAAGAGACGGGTGGAAACAAGCCTGCCAGGAATAACACCCCACCCCCCAAAAAAACCAAAAACCTGGGAGTATCGGAAAAGGGAAGTATCCCAAAGACGAGGAAGAGAAAGTTCTAGAAGGATGGGGTAGAACAGATTCAGCCAAGGGATCAAGAAAGAAAAAAGATCAAGGGACAGGTTTCGGCCCAGCAGGAGGCAGCGTGAGAGCTGGACCCGTACAGAGGGAGGGGTCTTTGGGGGGTGGCTCCTGGGTCTGGGAAGGAGGGCTTCTGCGGACTCACTCTTCAGCCTGGGCCAGGAGGTGGAGAACACGCAGGCACACGCTTCAGGGCTGAGTTGAGAGAAGGGGTGGAGACTTGCTCAGACAAGTCAGACACAGGTCACTGTCATCCAGACAGCTGCCCCCACTGCCACAGCTTCTGTTCCTGAAGGTTCAGGGCTGCCTCGGGGACACACATCCAGATTCGCCCACGGGTCAGGGTCTGGCTGGGCCAGGGCTCAGCACACAGGACGGAAGCCTTCTGCGCAGCGGGCCTCAGGGGTGGCCTGGCCCAGCCTGCCCGGGGCCCTCAGGCCGGCGCCCAGGCTCTGGCTCCGTGTCTTCACTCCCGTGTTGTCCGAGGAGGGAGGGAGGGACGGGGGCTGTGCTAGGGCGGCCGGAACATCGCAGGTCACCGGGCCGGCTGGGCGAGGTGGCCGGGCAGGGCCAGGGCTGCAGAAGAGGCTACAGGGAGGGCCCTGCTCCTGATGGCCGGCCAGCCATGCCGAGGAGACCCTCCCAGAACCTGTGCAGGATGGGGGAGCACCAGTGCTCTTGGGCTCCAGTGGCCTGGCCTCACCTCTGCATCCACCTCCTCCTGGCTGCAGGTTGGGTGGGATGGGGTCCACTGGGACCCCAGCATTCGGGAGGGAGAGCACAGTAGTGTGGTTTCCTCCTGGCAGCCCCAGTCCTTGGGCCTCTGACCTGTCTTGGCCCAGCCTGAAGGTGCTGGCCTGCCTACCTGCAGCACATGCCTAGCAGCTGGCCCGGGTGCCCTGGTACAGCTGAGCCCAGGGTGTAGACTTAAGGCCCATGCTGACACCTGCAGCCTCCTGCCCGAGGCACGCTCCCTGGCTTGATGTCCACCCAGCACCACCAGGGGCCCAGCCCTCAGGGTGGATCCCCCCAGGTGCTCTCCCCACCCCTCCTGTGGAGGGGGGACATCCTTGCCTAGCTGAGGCAGCGGGACTCAAGACCGGCCCCCCAAGTAAACATGACCCGTCCTCACACAGTCCCGTAGCGGTGTCCCTTGTCTGCGAGCCCAGATGGCCATGGCCATGGATGTGGGGGAGCTGCGGTTTCTGCAGACTGAGTCGAGAAGGCACCGGGCCCCACTGAGTCAGGGTCAGTAAGACTGCAAGAGTGGAGGGCGGCACTTGGTGCTGACGGAGATTCTGTGCCTCATCCTTCCCACTGGAGGGGACCGGGGTGCCCTGTCCACCAGGCTCTGACAGGGTGGACCTGGGACCCCAACAGGCCCCCACCTGAAAGGCCTGGCAGCAGCTCAGACCCCTGCCCCCCAGCAGGCCTCTGGCTTAGCAGGGTGTGGCCAGAGTGGGCACCTAGCTCCTGGCCCTGTCTGCCCATCGGTCCTGTCCCTCCCCAGGTGGGAGCTTGATGGCATGCCCTTTCCTGGACATGGCCCCTTCAAGGAGCAGGCACCCCAGGTGGGGTGAAGGAGGGTGACAGGTGGGGGCCTGGGAGCAGCACTGCTCACGTGGTCAGCACGTGCTTCTTCCCGTCCGGCCTCCTCTGAAACACCCACCTACAATAGCCCCCTTTCTTCTGAGACCTGCTTGAACCGGGGGTGTCCCTGAACAAGGACACCACTTCTCCTGTTCTCCTGCCAGCCTTGCTCCCCATCTCTGAGCTCTCGGCTGTGAGGTGGAGGCTCCCTGGGGGCACTGGGGCAAGAGCCTCAGAACGGGACAAGTCGGGGCTCCAGGCTGAGGCTCCAGCTGTGCTGAAGGAGGGGCCGTCCGTCCATACCCCAGGAGGGCTCTCCTGGCCCCTCTGCCCCCACCAGGCAGCCTGGCACCTGCAGCTCGTGACCATGTTGGGTCCAGGGCAGAGGCCACAGCAGGAGCCCAGACAGTCTGGTTCCCTCCACTTTCAGCTTCCCCTGGGTGCCCGTCCTCCTGGGTGCCCGTCCTGAGCCCTGTGCAGTGTGGCGCCTGAAGCCAGGGCTCTGCAGGGTGAATTCAGCCTGACTGCAGACGCCTGACTCTCCAGCCCCAGCTGGCTTGGGGGGGAGGCAGCTGCCCCAGGCCCTGCAGGTGGCCTGAGCCCCTCTTGTGGCTGGCTAGAGGCTAGTGGACCTCTCTGTCCACATCCGAGGCTCAGGTCCCAGTCGGCAGACCTCTGGGCCCACCTCCCAGCAGAACTGCACCTTCCCATGCCCCCTCTGGGTCACCTTGATGCCCTCTGCCTACTAAGGGACGGGCAGCTGTGAGCTTCCCACCCTCGAACTTGGGTCCCCAGACCCCTCCCCACTCCCTCCTGGACGCAGAGGTTGGGCCTGTTCCTCCCATGTCTTCCCATGACCCCACTCCGCAAGGGTCACAGCCACACTAGGCTGGCCCCAGCACCCTCCAGTCACTCCTCCGCTGCCTGGTGGGTGCGCACCATCCCACTGGCCCTCCCTCCACCCCGACCCAGGAGGGCACCAGGGGAGCCCCACCAGGTGGTAGTGTGGCCTGGTGGACAGGCCCAGGGGCCCCTGGAACAGAGTGGCCCAGCGGGTGTGGGCCTGAGCCCAGTCAGTCTGAGCAGCTCGGTCTCCTCACGAGGCCAGGAACCTTGGTCCTGGTCTGTACAGCAAGGTCCTTTAAAACTGGATCCTGGGCCACGCACTTGTCCCTGGTATTAAACAGCCACATGTGCACCGTGGGCTCTGTGGGGCCAAAGCCTGCCCTCGTCCCCCGGGCGGTTGGCGGTCATGCTGTGTGGCACCGTCCTGATGGTGCTGCTGGAAGCTGACACCCAGCAGAGCAGGGTACCGGGTACCCAGAGGGCCCCGTCAGGGCCGCCGTCCGTCCCCTCCACAGCCCGCACCCAGGTGCTGTGGGGTGTCTGCCTCACTGGGCACTCCACAAGTTCTGGTCTGCCATCCTGTCCAGGAGAGCCCTGGGCAGCCTCGGCCCCTTCTCGCCCTCACGCCACCCTTCCCCACAGGGGAGCACTTGCGGATCTGCCCCCAGGGCTACACCTGCTGCACCAGCGAGATGGAGGAGAACCTGGCCAACCGCAGCCGCACAGAGCTGGAGACGGCACTTCGCGACAGCAGCCGGGCCCTGCAGGCCACACTGGCCACCCAGCTGCACGGCATTGACGGTGAGTCTAGGGTTGGTGGCACGCTCCTTCCTGCAGGGTCTGAGCCAGGGGATCTGGCAGGAGGAGGGAGGCAGAATGAGCGCCTCGGAGCTGGGACTTGGGTATCGCTATCAGGAGAGGGCTGCCCTCGGGTGGGGCCTGAGTGGGGGACAGACAGGGCTCAACTGCAGCCTGATCTCTGTGCTGGATCATGACACTCAGAGCTAAGGCTTCTGGGGTCTGAGCAGTTACAGACCTTAAGTTCTACTTCTAGAGAGAACGGGGACTCTCCAGGCCCCATCCTGGGCACATGGGGTACAAGGGCATTTCCCCAAACTGTGGGGTCTGCAGTACACGCTTGTACCTGTCCCCCCACCCTGCCAGGATGTGTCCATCGGAGGCACATGGGGCCTCTGGGGCCCAACCAGCCTCTGCAGCCTGGCATCTGGCTCTGATGACCACACGCACAGTGTCTCCCCGCTGGGCCCTCTTGTCCCCATGGGCTGCCAGGGTGTTGGGTGGATGGACAGAGAGCAGGACCTCTGAAGGCCGCCCCGCGCTGTGTGTGCAGGTCACTTCCAGAGCCTGCTGAACGAGTCGGAGCGCGCACTGCAGGAGGCCTTCCCGGACGCCTTCGGGGGGCTGTACACGCAGAATGCCCGGGCCTTCCGGGACCTGTACGCCGAGCTGCGCCTCTACTACCGCGGAGCCAACCTGCACCTGGAGGAGACGCTGGCCGAGTTCTGGGCCCGCCTGCTGGAGCGCCTCTTCAGGCAGCTGCACCCCCAGCTGCTGCTGCCCGACGACTACCTGGACTGCCTGGGCAAGCAGGCCGAGGCGCTGCGGCCCTTCGGGGAGTCCCCGCGGGAGCTGCGCCTGCGGGCCACGCGGGCCTTCGTGGCGGCACGCTCCTTCGTGCAGGGTCTGGGCGTGGCCAGCGACGTGGTCCGGAAGGTGGCCCAGGTACACACGTTGCTAAATGTCCCCGTGCCCTGCCCCAGACTCGGCCCCTGGCAGCTCTGCCCTGTCAGCTGTGTCCCCAGGCGTGAGCTCCACTCTGGGCCAGATGGCCAGCCCACTTGCTGCCCAGTCCTGTCTTGGGCCAGGCTGCGCCCTGGGCAGAAGGGGAAGGGCCGGAGGCCTAGGGCTGAGGCTGGGCCTGGCTGGGGGCTCGGGATCCACTGGGGGTCCGACACACTCGTGCGGCTGACACGGGTGGGGCTCTGAGGCCTAGGCAGGCCGCCCTGGAAGGGCAGAGGATGCCTGCTACACCCCTGCAGCCCTGGATGTGAGCTGCCCCGCCTCCAGCCAGGGTCCTTAGCGTGTCACCCCACCGCTGAGCCTCGGGTTGCTCTGTGTGGTAGGGCTTTCTGCGTCCCACCAAGGGTCGGTGACGATGGTGTGCTGGGAGTGGTGACCATCCTGACGCCTTCCGGGACCTGTACGCCCTGCATGCCCAAGCTGGCTAGGCACGGTCCCCCGTGTGTCAGGCAGAGCTGGGGTCACCTCTGACTCCATGCAGAGCCCGCCGGGGCTTGGTCATGGCTGCAGCTCACCTCGTCGGCCGGGTGTGCTCAGGTAGCCTTTGCTCCCCAGGTGCCCCTGGGCCCCGAGTGCTCTCGAGCTGTCATGAAGCTGGTCTACTGTGCCCACTGCCTGGGGGTCCCTGGTGCCCGGCCCTGCCCCGACTATTGCCGAAACGTGCTTAAGGGCTGCCTGGCCAACCAGGCAGACCTGGACGCCGAATGGAGGAACCTTCTAGGTGAGCCCCTGCCTGGCCTTGGGAGCTCTCCACTGTGGACCTGGGAGGCAGGTGGTCCCTGCTCAGTAGGGAGACCCAGGGCCAGATCTGGGTGGGAGTGTGGGGTTGAGTGTTCCGACTGGTATGTGACCTGGGGGAACACTGTGGGATCCTAGTTCCTTGTCCTGCCCCACTGAGCAGCCTCCAGCACATGCATGAGCTACGTACAGGCTCTGACACGTGGGAGCTGGCACACACACAGTCCGGCAGGTACGTGTGCTGTCACGTGTGTCTATACACCCACGTGCTGCCGTCGGTGGGTGACCCAGCATGCCCATGTCCATCTGCTGGCATGTGAGTCAGCACACACACCAACACACGTCAGCCTGCAAGAGCAAGGCGGGCGTCAAGTGGGTGGGAAAGGTGCCCACACCGTGGGCATCACATGCAGTGCCCGCGCGTACGTGCCGACGCCTGTGACGTCATGGTGTGAGACAGAAACTTACCAAACGTGTAAGCTCTCAGTGCACACGGCCTGCACAGGTGGGCGCGTGTGGATGAGGTGGGCCCAAGGACCACAGATGTCCTCTGTTGGCATGAGCTTGTGCCCTGGGTGGGCTGTGGGTGTGTGCCTGCCGAGTGCTGGGCCCCCACGGGGAGCAAGCCCCTGGAGCCCTGCTGTGGACCTGCACTGACCCCTGCCTGGCGTGTCTGTGCGGGTCAACGTCTGTCCAGACTCCATGGTGCTCGTCACCGACAAGTTCTGGGGCCCGTCGGGAGCAGAGAGCGTCATCGGCAGTGTGCACATGTGGCTAGCAGAGGCCATCAACGCCCTCCAGGACAACAAGGACACACTGACGGCCAAGGTTCGGGCAGGGGCAACCAAGAGCATGGGGGGGGGGGCGGGCGTTGCTGCTGTGGCCCACCTGGGCCCGAGAGTCCCTGCTGGCCTCCAGGACCTCTGTGGTGTCTATAGGTCATCCAGGGCTGCGGGAACCCCAGGGTCAACCCCCAGGGCCCTGGGCCTGAGGAGAAGCGGCGCCGGGGCAAGCTGACCTTGCAGGAGCAGCCCCCGACAGGCACGCTGCAGAAGCTGGTGAGCGGCCCCGCCCCTGCCCTGAGTGTGGGGAGGGCAGGGTGGCTGCAGGCTGCCCAGTGACCTGACTGCTGCCTGGCAGGTCTCCGAGGCCAAGGCCCAGCTCCGAGACATACAGGACTTCTGGATCAGCCTCCCAGGGACGCTGTGCGGTGAGAAGATGGCCATGAGCTCTGCCAGTGATGACCGTTGCTGGAACGGGATGGCCAAGGGCCGGTAGGTGCTGCCTCGCTGGCCGTGTCCTGCACGTGGCTTGCAGCAGTACACAGGAAGTGGGGCGGGGGGGGGGGCATGCCTTTACCCAGACACTTGAGGGTAGAGACCCCACACTAGGGCTGTGTGGCTGCCACTGGCCCCTGGAGGGCCGCTGGGTGCCTCCAGCTGGGGGTCTTGGGCCTGGGGGTGGGCAGTGGGAGCGTGTTCTGCTGGCACGGGCCCCTTTGCAAGATGCAGTGACGGGGGCTTTGCCTGATCTGCCTCAGGTACCTACCCGAAGTGATGGGTGACGGCCTGGCCAACCAGATCAACAACCCCGAGGTGGAGGTGGACATCACCAAGCCAGACATGACCATCCGGCAGCAGATCATGCAGCTGAAGATCATGACCAACCGGCTGCGTGGGGCCTACAGTGGCAGTGACGTGGACTTCCAGGACGCCAGTGAGGGTCCCGGCCCTGACGGTGGGGCTGGGCGCTGATAACCAGGGGTCCCAAGGGCTGTGAGGGTCTGCTGCTGGGCGGGGACACCACGCCTGTGTCCCTGCAGCGGCTGAGGCCCGGCAAACCCAGGAGGGCCAGTAGCACTGGACCACAGCAGTCACACTGGACCTGGGCCACACAGAGAGCCATCGGGTCCCTGGACACGGGGTCTCTGGGTAGGGGCAGCTGCTGGAGTCCCCTCTCCTCCCCAGGTGATGACGGCAGTGGCTCAGGCAGCGGCGGTGGCTGCCCTGACGTCATCTGCGGCCGGAGGGTCAGCAAGAAAAGCTCCAGCTCCCGCACGCCCTTGACCCACGCCCTCCCCGGCCTGTCCGAGCGAGAGGGGCAGAAGACCTCGGCCGCTGGCCGCCCCCAGCCCCGTGCCCTGCTCCTGCTCCTGCTCCTGCTCCTGGTTCTCGCGGCAGCCAGGCCCCGGTGGCGGTAACTGCCACGGCCCAGGGACGAGGCCAAGGACAGACTTTGCCAAAACGCAAAACAGGATATTTAATTCCCCTTGGCCTGCAGAGGCCCAGGGTAGGACGAGGGGACAGTGGCTCTGTGTGCTGGGCAGGGTGCGTGGGGCCCCAGCACCCAGGCCTGGCCTCACCTGCCACCCTGGCTTTTAATTTTGTATGAGGTCCTCAGGTCAGCTGGGAGCCAGTGTCCCCAAAAGCCATGTATTTCAGGGACCTCAGGGACATCTCTGGCTGCCCGTACCCCCCCACCCCTCCCAAGGCCCATGGAGGAGGTGACCCTTAGCAACGTCCCGCTGGAGACCTCGAGCGAGCCTGTGCCTTCCTCGCTGCCTTCTGCCGGGGACTCTCTGCTGGACCTCCCTGGCTTCACATCAGCAAGGCCCACCCCTCCGCACCCCCAGGGTGTCGGGGGCCCCTGACCATGCTCTGGCAGGGCCTCTGAGCTTATGCATGATGCCTCCCACCCAGTGGGGCTCTGAAGCCAGGGCCCACTCTCCCTGTGTCGCCTCAGAGTCCCAGTGGACGCAGTCCACCCTTGGGGCCGTGCCAGCACAGCCATACCCCGGCTCTGCTATGTTGACCTTTTGCTTGTGGGTGGGGTGCTGTCCCCACCACCCAGGGAAGCAGAGGGCCTGCCCCTCACTTGTGCTCACATACACAGGCCTTCTGGGGCCAGGTCTGCAAGAGGAACCCCACTTCTGGGGAGTAGCCAGCCATTCCTACCCCACCCCACCCAGACAGGATGGCCCTGGGGCTGCGGGCCAGGGCATAGCCTGACAGTCGAGGGCTTCTCCAGCACATGCACATTCAAACACTTCTTTCCCTGCCCCGAGACCTGCACCTCAGTCCTCCTGAAGCATTGGAGGTCCTGGAGCCCAGCTTGGACCCTGGGGCCCTTCAGTGGCCCTGGACTGAGTGTGCCCAGCTCACTGAGGGCATCGGGCCCTCGGGCATGGGCAAGTCCTCCCCGTCTCCAGGCCCAGAAGCCAGCAAGCCCTGGAGCAGGGACTGGCGTCCTATAAGAGGGGCCCCTGCACGGCGAAGGACGACAGGGGGCAGACACCGAGTTGCCACAGCCAGGGACAGTCGTTCCGACCCACACGGGCCTTGAGAAGGTCACTCAGTGCTTCTTTGATCTCTGCTGCTGGGCCGGGGGGTCTTCCCACCTGCACAGTGGGGGAGGCTGTGGGTGCTGGTCCAGCCCCTTGGCACAGGGTGGGAGACTCAAGCTGGTCCTTGGACGTGTTGGGTCAGGCCCTTGGGACCCCTGCCCTGTAAGAGCCCCGTAAGTGCCATGCAGGCTGAGGTGGCTGGAGCCGACCCAAGCCCCGGGACAGAGGACCCAGTCCTGGGAGGCAGCAGTGACACTGCCCGTGATGGCCAGGGGTGACACCCCGCACTACCCCACATGCTTCTCTGGAAGGGGCAACCCTGAGCAGCCACTGGTCAGGGCAGTGGCCCAGCCTGCTGTGTCCTTCCTCATGAGGCCCCTGGTCACTCAGTGCCAGCAGGTCGCCAGGTCACATGTGTCGAGTCCTTGTATGAATAAAAGGCTGGAGACCCACACAGGACAAAGCCTCATGTGTGGCTCTGAGCCTGCCTCGTGCCACCCAGCAGAGCGCGTGTGAGCTGGTGCCCGGGCGTGCACGGCAGGACGTGCGTCAGGCTCTGGTGGGAGGGGGGCCCCATACTGCCATGGGCCACTGCATTGCCAGGCCCTGGCCAGACCCCCATCTTTGGCTGAGCACCCTTTGTGGGATGTGGGTGGGAGAGGCCAGAACTGGGCTCCAGATGATCTAGGCAGGCCCCACCCACCTTCCACCTCTGCCCACCCCCTCTGGGTGTGCAATGCAGTCCTCTAACCCTTAGCAGGTCCCAGTTCCTGCCAGGTGGCCTCACTGTCCAGTGGGGTGTTCTGATGGTTCAGTCTGTGCCTTGCTCCCCAGGCATGGGGTCCTGTGTAGTCCTGAAGGCCGCAGCTGCCAGCCCACCCCTGCTTGGGGGTTGCCCTGTTCCTGTGGGTCCCCTGGCCCTGGCTCCTTGGCTGAGAAGCCACCTCAGAGGCACTCAAAAGAAGCACCACTCTCCAGCACATGCCACCAACAGGGTACTTTATGTGAGCACCGCAGCCTGCCTGGTCTTCCTGGGAGGCGGTGCTCGTGTTTCTGACGCGGCCCTGGAGCCCAGAGGCCAGACCTGTGTGAGCGAGCAGGACCCCTGCTCTGGAGGACCAGGCACTGAGGCACACTCCACACACCTCCCAGAGAGGGCATCTCCTGGCACAGGCCTCTGGAGACACTGACAGCAGCCAGGTCTGTGGTGGGCTGTCCCTCATCCACCTGCCCTCAAGTCCTGGGAAGCCCAGGCAGCCCAGCTGCTCCCTTGGGATACAGGTGGTGGTGAAGTCCTCTTCCTCTCCTGGCAGCAGGAGCAGCAGCCTCGGGGCTGAGCGGAGCCTGCGCAGACCGTGGGCAGCCGAGGCTCAGTGGTGTTTGCAGACAGGACTGCTGTATTTCATCCGGCCGGGCGGTGTCAGGGTCTGGGCCTGTGGAAACATCACCCTCTTCGGCTGCTCTGTGATTGGGGGTGAGTGTGTCCTCACTGTGAGAGAAAGAAGAGCCCAGATGGCATGGACACCTAGTGCAGGGCCACAGACGGGAGGGGCCACCTCAGCCGGCCTCATCAGGCTCCACCCTGGTGTCCCCAGAGGCTGACCAGGAAGAGGCCCCCAGGCCCTCTCCATCCCTCATGGGATTTCAGGGAGCCACGACATCCTGACCAGCCCACGCTGACAGCTAGAGAGTGGCCAGCTCCTCAGCTGCTCCCCGAGCGCCCCCCACCACCTGAAGGCCATCCTGACAGGCCAGGTGGTGTCTATGATGGACACGTGCAGGCACTCGTGCCCGGGTACACACACACGCACATGTCAGTGAAACGCCAGGTGCATATAAAGCACTGGAACACACCCACGTCCACGTGCACACCCCTATGCTTGCACATACCCACACACAGCATGGGCACACGCACACACACCCTCGTACATGCTTGACCACGCATCCATGCAAACACGCTCATCACACCCCGGTGCACACATGCACGTAACACACTGCTCCCTCCAGGCCCTCAGCATGCGTCCCACCCGGGGACAGGCCCTCCATGGAGCAACATCACTGTGACCCAAGTGCTCCCCACATCCAGATGGAGGCTGATTCCCCTCTGCACCCACCTTCTCCCACCTTGTGTCACAGCCGAAATCATGGGAAGGTCACAAGGGCATCTACCCTGCGGGAAACTGAGGACAGATGACAGGGCACATGTCAGAGCCATCAGAGAGGGGGGCAGGCTGGGAAGGGAGATCCTGGGCACATAACAGGTACCAAGGCTGGAGCCTGCCGAGGAGGGCCTCACTGACTCGGGGACAGTGGGGAGGCCAGGGAGGTCACTGCCCAGCAGGCTGTCCCTTCTATGCAGGGACACCTCCCGGGCAAGAACCCCCGCCCCCAATACAGGAACAAATGAATCACTCAGCCCACAAAGTGAGACTCCAGTGAATCTCAACATTTCCCTCCTTTGATGTGGCCTCAAGTATGAGCAGAACCCCCGATTTCCAGCACAAGCCCGTTTCCACTCCCAGACTGGGCAGGACAGAAACAGGCCAGCCGAGATCTCACAGGAGGTCTCAACACGCCACATCACAGACACGGAGGAAGGGCCAGGCAAGGTCTAGTTGGACCCGGTGGTGACAACACAGTAGGCTGCTAAAATAAACCCCCTCCTCACACACAGAATGCTGGGGAAAATTCCCTTTTCACAACATCAGTACACTCTAAGCTCCCAGAGGAGCTCAACCCTGTGTGCTCAAAAGGAAGTGGAGAACTGAGAAGCCACGGTGACCATCACAGTAAACATCAAGCTGGGGGGGGGGGGGTGCGTGAGGCTGGAACGGGGACCCCAGGGGACCCAGAAGCCTCAGAGCAACAAAAAAGTCCTCCCTGGTGCTTAGTAAGGCCAAGGGGTTGTATGCTGCCCAGGGTTTCAGGTGGAAAAGAAGTGTCCCCATAAAGAGTCAGTGCCTGGGGACGATGGAAAATGAGGGAATGTGGAAGAGTCTGGAGGTTTCACCCACTGGAAGCGGGGGCTGCAGAGAAAGAATGCCAAGCCCCAGGAACTGAGCACAGTGTCTTGAAATCACAACCCACCACAGCAGCCACCCCAGGTCCGGCACCGGAACTTCAGACAGGGGCAGCCGAAGTGGTCTGCAAGTCAGGGTTTGTGTGGCCAGAGAGAAAAGGAGGAGAAATAGAAGCCACAAAGGGCAGATCTGTAGGAGCCTACGAACACGGGACTGTCGACGTCCCCCAGGGAGGGACACTGGCTCAGGGGCCTGCGGGCAGGAGGAAAGCGGCCCCACTGCCCGGAAACTAGCCACGTTCTGTGGGAATAGGAACATCCAGATTCATGGCCCTCAAAGGACTCCAAGCAAGATCAGCCCGATGAGGGACGTCCTGAGACACGTCATGATCAAGGAGAAGCAGCACCGCAGGCAGGAAGGGGCTCCTCCGTCCGGGAACCGGGGGGCCGACGTGGCAGGTGGAGGGGGTGGGACAGCATGTTCGAGTTCTGAAAGGAAAAAGTAACTGCCAAACAGGAAACAGCAAGCCCTACCTGGCCGAGCTGCTCCTCAGAAACGAACGAGAGAGAAAATGTTCCCAGACATGAGATGGGGTGCCCCTCCCTGTGACTCCTGACTTACAAGGAATCCCAAATGCCGTTCTTCACACAGAAATCACGCTGAGTGACATGAATCTACGTCACTATCGACGCGCATACGTGGTCAGAGTCAGAGTGCGTCACGCAGCAGTGAAGGAACATAGAATAACTAGAGTGAAACAAGAACACTAGAGCTACGGTGTGTCCTCAGGGAAACACCATTTTATAAAAAATATAAAGTGACATCGATCGTATAAAGGGTTGGGGTGGGGAGTGGACGTGTGGAGTTTTGCATGCAATTAAAGAGGTATCAGTTTAAAATAGAATTTTGTGGCTGTAAGGTAGTTTATTTTTTATTATTAATAGGTGAGACCCTCACAAAGACCACAAAGGAAAAAATTCTAGAAGATACAACAAAAAAAAAAGAGGGAAAGGGATAAAAGATCAACGAAGACCCAGGAAGAGAGGAGGAAGCGACGGCAGGGACTGCAGCATAGTCAGAGGACACCAAGGGCAGAGTCGGCTCTTCCTATCAGTGATGAGCAAGTGGCCGGATCCCCACCCACAGGCACAGAGTGGCTGAAGGCCTCTCCTTAAAGGACCCAAGTGCACACGGCCTTTAAGACTCCTGCACCTTGAGGACAGACAGGGAGGAAACACAGCCAAGGAGCAGCCCGGGCGGCTCCACTCACATCAGTTAAAACAGGTTTCAGTCCAAGTCACAGGAAGGACGACAGTGATTCCCGGAGGTCAGTCCATCAAGAGGACACAGTGTGACTAGAGGTGCACCAACGCGGAGCACCTACATACAAAGAGCAGGTAGTAACAGAGCCAAAGGGAGAAGCAGGCCCACGGCATGGAGTGGGGAGCTTCAGCCCTGGGCGAGCCCTGGCTCAGTCCTGGGTACAGGGAAAAAACACAGATGATCCGGAGAGAAAATCCACAGGGAAACAGAACACTTGAAACCAGACGGACCTACAGACACATAGAGAACGACGTTTCCCCCAACAACAGAGAGAATGCTCTTCTCTAGCCCACACGGGACATTCTTCAGGACAGGTCGTGTCTTGAGCCACAAAATGAGTCCTGACAAGTGTGATACCGAAACCACAGCAGGTACCTTTTCCAACACAAAGCAATCAACCAATAACACAGGGGATTTGGGGAAATTCACAAATATGCAGAAGTTAACACACTCCTGAATAACCAATGGACCGAAGAAGAAACTTAAAAGGGAATTTTAAAGAGAATCTTGAGACCAGTGCAAATGTAAACTCAACTTCCCAAACCTGAGCGGATACAGGTGCAAAGACACGTCTAAAAGAGAAACCCTTAGTGATAAATGCCTACACTAAGAGAGATCTCCAACAGCCCGGCTTCACATCTCAAGGAACAGACCAGAACAAGACAAGCAGAGAGAGTAGGAAGACGGGACGTCAGCATCAGAGCAGAAATAAATGAAATAGAGACTGGAAAGATGACAGCAATATCAATGAAACCAGGAGTTAATGTTGTGAAAAGACAGGATTAACAAGTCTTTCAGCTCTTTACCAATAAGTAGAGTTATAAATGTAGGAGGAGACATTACAAAGGATGCCCCAGGGACAGAAAGGACCCTAAGGGACTGCTGTGAAGAATCTCACGGGACCAACTGGATGACCTAGAAGAGAAGGAAAAGTCCGTCTACCAAGACCGTGCGGTGGAGAAACGAAAGGCGGGCAGACCAGTAATGAGGAAGGATGCGGAAGGGCCACCGCAGACATCCCCGCCAGGAAACCCCGGACAGGCGGACGACTCAGGAATCCATACCAACCTCCTCAAGCCCACGAGGAAGGCACACTCACAACTCACCTTCC